TGATCTGCCCACCTCAGCCTCCCAAAGTGCTGGGATTACAGGCGTGAGCCACTGCGCCCGGCCTGAAACTCTTAATAAAAACTTGCTGGTTTTGCAGCTCAGGTGGGCATCACGGTCCTACCAATATGTGGTCACCCCCGGTGGCCCAGCTGTAAAATTCCTCTCTTTATACAGTCTCTCTTTATTTCTCAGCCAGCCAACACTTACGGAAAATAGAAAGAAACTACATTGAAATATTGGGGGCGGGTTCCCCCGATATCTGGCATGCCAACATGGTTTTCTTTTTCCTAAGCATGTGGGAACCCAATTCCCTTTGGTAGGTGTGGAGAAACATTCATCGGTCCAGTTCACAGAAATGCTTGTTCAGCTCCCTGACGATTGGTGAATTGTCTGTGTATTGTCTGGGGTAACTTTGGGTCACGTGCTGTCTAAACATTATGCTTATCTCTGCTATATTAAACTCCTGTTAAAACGGGGGGAGTGCGAGTGCCCATGGAAAATATGGTCACCCTATTCAGGGCAGTGAAGGAACACTGTCCTTGGTTTCCTGGAACTATGGGATTGTGTTGGTACAAAATTCTGGAAACTGGTCCCGACAGGAAATAATGTTCCCATCACTGGGGTGATTGGGCCTTGGTACGTGCTGTCCTAATGACATACCAATCCCATGACCCCCTGCAGTTACCACAATTTTCTGAATCTGGCGACCCACTACCTCTTCTTCAGCTTTCCTGTCCCATTTGGCCTTCGTTATCTGCTCAGCCTCTCCCTTCGTCTACTCCTCCCCCACCTGACAATGTTGAGAATTCAATATCTAACTCTGGTGACTCTGGCTTAATGTCAACCCCTGATGATCTTATTTCTTTTCATGAAGAGCCGGTACTTGTAGCTACCGCGGACCCAACTCGGACAGCCCGGGCCGGTATCTATGCTAACTCTTCCCTCTCCAAATCTTTGCAGTCTTTGCCTCCAGAGCCATCTAATGGCTCTGGGACCAAACTACAATTTACCTGTAATTCTGCAGGCCCTCCCCCATCTACCTCAGCCCCTCACCCTCCTGTCATTTCAGTCCCTCAACCGGTCACTTTGCCACCCACTCAACTTTCTTCTCTGTACCCTTCTTCACGCACGGATGCCCTGCCACTCTGGCTGCACAGGATTGGGACAATAATCACCAGTATACTTCTGCCTCTTCTGCTCCCCCAATGCCCCTTTCTCATGCTCTCATACTGGTCTGACCTCCTCAACCTCAGTTTCCCTTATCTACACATACTTTTCCTGTCACTTCTATGCTAACTCCGTCTCATGTGCCTGTTGTTGAAACTTCCATGCAACGCTCCTTATGCCAAAACAAAGAAACAAGCGGATTAGAGGTGTGGGATTATCCAGTCACGCTGGAACCTCCTAATGCTCAAGGGGTATAAGTGCATTGATACGTGCTGCTTAATTTTACCTTTTTAAAAGAATTCAAGGATGCTTGTGCTCAGCATGATCCTACTTCTCCATATGTTAAAATGGATTTACAGACTCTTTGTACTGAGGTCATTTTGCTTCCTTTAGACTGGGACCTTTTGGCAAAAGCTGTTCTAATTTCATGTCAGCATTTACAATTCTGTACCTGGTGGTCAGAGGAGGCCCGTCTGGAGGCTCAGCTAAATCGGGCTGATGGCATTCTAATTACTCAGGCTCAGCTCACAGGCTCTGATCATCACTCTAACACTACAACCCAATTAGGCTTTGATGCTCTCACCAGGGAACAAGTAAAAAAAGGTATGTATGAGTGAGAGCTTTGGATAAATTATGTGCCCCAGGCCAAGTTCCTGTTTCTTTTACTACTGTTAAACAGGGTCACAGTGAATTATAATCTGATTTTTTGGCTAAATTACAAGATGCTGTTCAAAATTCTGTCTCTGATGAGCACACTCAAGGTATTCTCCTTCGTATGTTAGCTTTTGAGAATGCGAACCATGAGTAAAATGGCCATGTGTTCCGTCCAACGACAAAATTTACCTGATTATGAGGTGTTGCCTGCATATATTAAAGCTTGTGAAGGCTTTGGATTAGAGACTCACAAAGCTATTCTGTGGGCACGGGCCATGAAGGATGGCAATCAAACTGGCTCGACTGATTATTTTCTTGGAGCCTGCTTTAATTGTGGTGAACTTGGTCACACTCAAAAAAATTGCACTGTTAAAAACTTAAAAGTGGCCAAGCCGGCTCAACAAACACGGCCAAATGCCCCTGCTACTGTTTGCCCTCGTTGTCGTGAAGGTAAACATAGCCCAAGTACTTGCCGCTCTAAGTCTGATATAGATGGA